CGAATCTTGTCGATCCCCGCGAATGCAGCTCTCCCAAATGGTGTAAATGCAACCGCCGTTGTCGATTTACGTACCGTGATGAATGTAGTCATCCGTAGCCTTGGATAGAACGAATTAATTGCCTTTGAGCGGAGCCATTACGCACTATCTACTTAAAGTCTTCCAGTATAATTCTCGATTCAACTATTACTTTTGGTTTTGGTTGAGGAACTCTTAATGAGTAGTAATTATCGTCGATTTGAATTGGCTGTGGCTCTTGTGCGTCAATATACTCGATATCCATTGCGTGGCTCTGTGTATATTATTGTGATAGAAAGAGCTTGTAGAAATCATCAACTCTTCCGTGCTGGAGATTGTAAAGCCACAGGACGCAATACTGACCACAGTGGCCAAAACATGGATTCTGAATCTCAACTTCGCGACGATAGGAGTATTTTTTGGTATTACACGTGGCCTAGGCAAGCCGAGAGGATCGAAGTAAGCCTTATGCTTGTTTGATACTGCTAACTAATGCGTACCGCCGATCTGAGGTGTTCCCATGTTCAGAATACAATAATCTTTGGTTCTATTCAAATGCTGCTTGAAGTCGATTTGATCTACTTTGACTCCAAGTGAGTTGGTGAGTTTCATGAGTTGATCATCCGTCGTTCTAGACAATTTAATTTTTTTTTTCACTCATGGTGCTTTATTTTTTCGACGAGTATAATGTAATCACCATCAATATAACCGCATAACCGCTTCTGATATTTCCGCTTTCGAACACTCCGTCGAACCAGCTCCAGCTGAAACACTCTTTAAGGACAGGAAATGGACCTATATTCAGGACTCAATAAGTAACACAGGCCAATATGCCGGACAAATTCAATTCAATCTCTCGACGAACTCTTCGCAAGCCGCATTTGTCAATTGGGAAGAAGCTGTTATCGAGCTTCCAGTAAAGCACTTCTTAAGCAAGCTTACATTGTTTTGATATTTACTTGAGATTTGTCGCTTCTTAAGCAAGCTTGAAGTCCATGGAATTCCACATGGAATGGACCAGCTTTACGCTATGGTCTCTTTTGTTTTTGCTCCATGATCGCCTTTTATGTTATAGCAAATAAATTATTTCTCGTAGATATCAATCTCAAGTGTTTTGTCGCTACCTGAAGGAGTGAAATCACCATGGAATATGCGTTCCCGACGGTCTCTAGGTCTGCTTGGAGTCTTTGCAGCAGGCGTTGCAACAGGTGCTGGCTCAGGCTCAAACGTTGTCTCTGGTTCAAAGGATGTATCTGGCTCAACTGATGCGATTTGCTTGGATGCATTTGATCGATTTTCGATTTTGTTATAGCTCGTGTTAGCAGCCATGGTGCTGTGGAGTAGCTTTGCATGTAAATCATTCTTCTCGCGATTGGTGAGCTTACCATATGTTGGCGATTGAATTAAATGAGACTCAGCAATGTGTCGAATCATATTCATTGACATTGGCTTTCCATTGTACTTCATGAACAGTTTTGATATAACTTGACTGAAGCTATTGCTCGCACTTGTATAATCGTACTCACCTGGCTGTCTATTGAAAATGCGCCGCAGGAGTTTGCTAGGTTGTTCTCTTACTGTGTTAGTCAAGAATTCAAGATATGACTTGATCAAGCTCATCGTAGTGCTATCCAACTGAATCGTTTGCGGTCCCATGAGCCGAACATTCTTGAAATCATTCAGATGTAAAACGTTCCCTTGAAGATAATTAGCACCTTCCTCAGGGGTGAGCATGACACTTGGCCATACCAAACGAAGTG